AGAGACCAAGAGGTGGAGAAAATTGAGCCAGATCCTCCAGCCTCCACCTCAAAGCTACCTCAGACGGAGACAAGCTCCTCGACCGTGAAGGGCATGGAAAACTAAACCCCATCCGTGCAAGGGTGTTTACCCTCGCAGGAGGTAGATATCCCACTCCTCGGAAGGTGAACATCTGTTGTCAGCGGAGAATGGGAAATCTCATGTCCCCCCTACAACAGGAAGATCCCCATGTATGATCAGTTCTAGATTGTACGATGCGTTATAAGATTCAAGAAAGGGCGGCAAAGTAGATCTTTAAGGTCAACCTCCCATTCTACATTCTACATTCTGCAAGCTGAGCCTATAACTTCAAATGTTATGAATAATAAATAAGTAAACTAGATAACACATAAATATTGTCAAGACTTAAATAGATGTCAACTTGGGTTTAGATCAAATTGGGAAAAAAGCACAAATAATATAATTCTAGTAAATATAATATAATTCGAGTAAACCAATTTGATATAGGCCCAAGAGATCGGTTACCTGCATGACATCGACCCAGATATGTTTTTAAATAACATTAATAATTAAACAATTAAAATACAACAATCTCGGGTCGATAATCAAACGCAGGCTACCAAAGTTCGATTTCCTCATGGTCATAGCCGGGTGGCGTATTTACATAGTATACTACGGCACAGAACCCCTTAGAACGCGGCGGCTCTGTAACGCAGTATGGTATGTAGTTGTAAACCGCCCTTATTTTCTACTACATACTATACTACGGCGCAGACCCGGTAGAAAGAAAAATGTATTTATGATGCTATTATTGCTGTTTAGTGCCAAAAATTAGTAATACAATATTAAATTGTAATGTGTTATATTAATAACTAAACGTTCTCTAACCCAGTGTGACTACATATTATCAAAGCAGAACGTTTGAAGGCGGGTAAAAGGACAAATAAGAATAATTTAAGATTGTGAGTTATTTGTCCTTTTACCCGTCTTCAAAGGTTTTGCTTTGATGTTATATTAATATTGATATTTTATCGTTGATAATAATTGACAATTTAGATATACAGGGTGACCCACTAAGAATAGCTCTCGGCTATACCTCGGAAAGTATTAGCCGTAGGGCCTACGGAAAAAAATATTTATAACTAAAAGAGCTATGAGAAATTGCTGAAAATGATTTTCAAGTTTGTAAAACGGCCGCTAGAGGGCGTAACTGCTATGGAAAATAAGGAAATAGAATTTTTACAGAATTTTGCCTAGATAATGGGTACTATAAATAATAGCTTCATAATCTTCAGGAAATTTTGAATTTTTTTTAAACCATTTTCCTCTATCTGCTAAAATAAAATGGTGAGGGAAGGTTAAATCTATCTTTATTTAAATGTTAATAACTCCGGACTGGAGGATCAGAATCCAACAAACGAGAGCTCGTTTAAAAGGGCGTTTCTTACTCTATATTATACCATAAAAATAATAATAATTAGGTTTTGAACGTAGACGCTAGGGGGCGGTTTCTTACAATTTAACAAACATAGCGCGTTTTTTCAAAAAAGTTAAATACGATAGTATATGTGATTTTAGCTGATAGTAAAGAGTAGTAAAAGCTTAACAAGTCAGCGAAAACCGTATCTTGATATCTTATTTCAAACCGAAGATATTGGCAAAATTATAATAAATACCAAAAAATAAGCCCTTAATTACCTTATTTTAACAATATGGTATCAGTACCCCTCTTGATTATGCCCATTCTAACAAAAAAAAAATAAGATAGAAACAGTTAGTTTATTTTAAAATCGACGAAATACCAGAATACCATAATACCAGATGTATTAATATCTAATTCTAATATTTAAGATATTAATAACAGTGAACAAGAAATGATGATTTAGTGAAGTCATGGTAGGCTTTAGAAAAAAGTTGCTTTTGACGTAATAGTATAAACGTCAAATTGTTATTAGATCAACATTTTGATAGTCTTTTATCTTTTGATTCCTTTTTCAAAATGCCAACAACTTCAAGTACTTCAAATAATAAAGGCATTTAAAAGGCAATTAATAGATAAAAAACCCTGCTAAGACTATCAGAATGTTTTCCCCCATGGCTAATTTAGCTAAATTCTTTCTATCAATGGTTGATAATGAGAGAATGCAGTTTAAATTGAGAGTCTTATAATTTTCTTCAATTGCGCACATATGTTTTCAAAATCTTCGCTCTTGCCCTGCAATGCAATCACACATCCCTATTAAGGTATCTACTGTATACAAAAATGTTTTATCATTTTCAGACGACACTAAAAATTGGGAATCACTTCTTTTGTTCAATGCAAGATTTTTTGCTTTTGAATTTAATTTCGCATATATTGAGTCATTTTTGTTGTTAGGCTATTTAACAGGCTATTCTTATTCTAGTTACTTAAAGGCTATTCATGTTCAACACAGACTAAAAACCAAAATCAAACAAGGTTTATCACGTAATCACTAAGGCGCATGTACATTAAAGGCCACGTGATAGGTCGTGTTTCGTTTTGGTTTTGAGTCTATCTTGAATGTGAATATTTCAATGAAATAGTAAAATGTATATCTAAGTTGTTAATTATCAATGATAAAAAATCAATATTAATATAACACATTACAATTTAATATTGTATTACTAATTTTTGGCACTAAACAACAATAATATCATCATAAATACATTTTTCTTTCTACCGGCTCTGCACCGTAGTATAGTATGTAGTAGAAAATGAGGGCGGTTTACAACTACATACCATACTGCGTTACAAATAGGGCTCTGTGCCGTAGTATACTATGTAAATACGCAGCCGGGTGAATGTAATTAGATCAAAATAGATTGAACGACGTAACCGGCGCACATTGGTTCAGATTCAATAAAACCGACGCATAGGGATCAAGAAAAAAATTTCGAAAATTTCAACAATGATATTATTTTCAACAGATGATGGGTCCATTTATTCAAATTTATCACGATCCACTTTTTAATCGTAATAAAAAAGCGTACAGGAATGTTGTTTTCGTTAGATTTTGTAGTTTAAATATATCAGTTATTTGCTGATAATGGTTTAGTGTTGCTAATATATTTTGGTTCTTAGTTCAGAGACTTGGAAATAAATTAAATTATAATGGATTTTGAAGACCAAGGTAAGTACTTTTTAAGAGAATTTTATTAACTTAAATATTTTTTTATGAAGCTAGTAGTTACCACAAACATAGTAGAGCGTTCTTTTGAAAAAAATTAAACTTTGACATAGCGTATCTTTAGAACTCCGCAGATCTCCGCTTCTGTATTTTATAATTTTTAAACGGTATTATACCAAATTTAATTTACCACAAGTATCTTACCCCAAGAGACCCCGAGGTAGATGATATATAAATTAAAATTTTAAATTGACCAGTAGTCTGATTTTTGTTCCATGGATAATTTCTTAAATTATTATACTAATATTTTTTGAGTAACTCTGGAGTGGTAAAAGTGTAACTACAGAGACTCACATGTTCCTCCCGTACTCTATTCCTTTTATTATAGGAACAATAAGCCGCAGATCAATATGTGAGCGGTTTTTGAAAATGGGTTTAAATAATAGGTCAGAAGCGGATATTATTGATGAAATTATTTCATTTTTGTGTGATAATAATATTCCTAACATATTATCGAAAAATAAGCAATTTGAAAATTTTGTTTATAAATGGTCAGAAAAGTGTAGGAAATGTAGTTATCCAACAATTGTCTCTGGCTGAATAAAAATTTACTTCAAATGCAAGAGAATCAATCTTTTGATGACCCTGGCCCTTCAAGAAGAATTTTTTTTTCAGAATTGTCCAAGTCCCAAAAAATAAAGAGACCAAAGGTATATATTGCCAAGGAATTAATTTATAATGTCTTACAGAAAAAAACATGTTTTTTTTATATACATAATGCTGCAAATATTGCATTAATGCTTTTAATTAATGGCAAAGATTAAAAATCAATTTATTTCTAGAAATTAGAGATTCTTACACCTCGGAATCTCGTTTCTAATTTAAGGAAGGAACATAACAATGAGACGGGAAAAGCAGTCTAACTAGGGTTTGAATTTCCAGAGAAAGTAGTCGCCACTAAAAATAGGTGAAGATTTACCCGCAGATGACATTCACATGGCAACAGAATATTATTGTCAATCAGATAGTGAAGAAGAACTAGAAGAAAGTGGTGGTGAATCATGTCATGAAGAAAATGAGTTTGAAGACTCCATTTAACGCATACTGCAATTTATGTTTTTTTTTCTTTAATTTAGACCAGATAACCTAATGGGTATTCTTTTTTGACTAGGTTCGAAGCATTTTTCAAACCTTTTTAAAAACTATAATTTTTGAATAAAATTCATAGAAAATCCCCCTTTTTTAATATTTTTATACTAAACAAACATAGTCTGAAATATATTTTGTTTATTCCTTGGACTATCTTTCTCATGTTAATAAATCCGCTATTAAACCTAATAAGTCTAGAATTTGTAATAAAATTAAAAATATCCTATGCGTCACTTTTTGGCAATCTGAACCACTGTGCGGCGATGACCACGAGGGGTAGAAAATATAAAAATGTATGCTGAAGAGAGTCGAGGGGTGAGTCCGTCGACGTGAGTCGCATTCTTAGTCCGTGAGTTGACTAGTGAGAGCCAGTAGAAGATAGCGCAGGATGAACGTTCCTGTAAGTACATATACCATATATTGAGTCTTGGCATTTCCCGAATTTGTTACCTTATGTATTACCTTTGTTGATTCCTTATGTATATAGTTATATGTTTAAATAAATGAATATTTTATCTAATGGTTGTTTTGATTAAAAGAGAGAACCTGGTATAGCGACCCTAGCAAACAACCCCCAGCTAGGTCGCGACAATATTAGATATTCAATATAAAACTATTCTAGATTTGTTGTAACTTTAGTGGTAAGTTTTACTAGACATGCGTGAAAAATATAAGTAGATATAAAAGGTGCATTGAAATAACTTTCTACGGTGTTTCACAGTTAACTGTAATATATTAATAGGAACTTAAAGAAATGTCTTAACAATTAACAAAAATATCTTTCTCCAATAATAATAATATTAATACTTAATATAATGTAATTATTATTATATTTATTCCGTTTTTTCTTTAATACTGTTATATTTTTCAAACTTCTCAACTGCCGATATTACGTCAGCTGCAAATAAATCCGGTATTTCAAAGGCTGCAAAATGTCCTCCATCCAAATCCGACACTTGTAGTCGATTTGGAAAAACTTCATCTAAAATGCCGTCTGCAAAGTAAAAGTCATACTTGTAACGGGCTATAGCAGTGGGGACTCTTAATGGATACCTAAAATTCAAAATTTTAAGGAATTTAAAAAATAAAAATTGTAATAATTTATTGAAATTATTATTATTATTATTATACAGGGTGGCGCCTCTCATAAGACGAGGAGGCTCTAAGGAAAACGACGATTTGTATTAAAACGAAATTTTGTAATCATATGAAGGTTAATTTTGAGCGGTTTTTAAAAATACAGTGCGTCCCCAAAAAAGTTACACATCAAAGTTGTGTTTTTTGCAATGGAACACCTAATCTATTAATCGATTTTCAGATTCTTAAAGAAAAATAAAGGTGAATTTTATTAGAGAAGTATATGACTAAAGTATAAAGTTTTTGACATATCTAACATTTTCTAAAAATAATGAACAATTTTTAAATTTCAATAAAAGCTGCTTAATTGTAATTTGCTCGGTATAGCCTAATATGTAGTTACAATATCTATTGTACTCTAATTCAAATTAAAACTTGACATAAAAAGTTATACAGGGTAAGACAGAATTAATATTGAACATTGATCACCTTTAAAAGCAAGTTACTCTTTTATTTTAAATGAAACGCCCAGTATATTATTTTAATATTCAATGAGGAATTCATGTCTCTTCAAAATACTATTAATGTTGCCTACCCCCCAAACAAAGATTCTCCTAGATATTTACATTTTTATGATTTAGTGCCAGTAGACATTTATTATTTGATAAAATCTAGGTGGCTGTGATATATTTGACGTTACTTCAACATAGCTGCCAAATTAGTTCAACTATAACAACTAGTTATCATTTTGTGTCAGTTGAAATAAAAAAAAAATCTCAGAAATTTTCTGAAAATGGAAACTTAACCTAAATCAGAGACAATTGATATGATTCTATTAGTTAGTGACTGCAGTGCAGGGGTGGATGGGCCATATGGAAAAACGGGAAAATTTCCGGTGGGCCGGTGGGCCGGTCCCGATCAGAGCTCAAAAAAAGATTGATTTAGCAAAAACTAAATGGTTAATCTTCTAACTAAAGCTACGTAAGATTCTTAGTGACTGCCTAACTAACTAATCAATTAGATCAATATAATCGTCAGTTGCTTTTAAACATAAACACCAATTTGTAAAATAATTATTGTTAGATGTCTTTCTCTGAGACACTTATAATTTTAATAAACATCTGTTTGTTGTTCCGTTTGAAATGTTTTATTATACAAGGTGAGTCTATAAGTGCACTTTATTTGTGCTGCTTTGTGCAAATATTTTCAGGGCTGGCAGATATGAATAAAAGAAACATAATATATTATGACAAGACAATTTCAAAATTTTGGAAAATCGGAGACAAAAGAGATTTTTTCGGCCGAGCGAAAATTACCCTTACTTATATAGGGTGTCCCAGAAATAAGTGCAAGTATTTTAAGGGGGTAGATTTGGTCAAAAGAAACATTTTTTCTCTTTACCGGTTTTCAAGTAAGTACAAAATAACCGAGTTATTTTACATCGAAAATTTAAACAAAAAATGCTTTTTTGCTTAAATTTTGAGAATCTCTGGATGTTTTCTGGATTTTCTTTTATGTAAATTTAATCTACTACCTATGTTGCCATATTATCAAGGAATTATGTTTTTTAACTTAAAAATAAAAAAAAATTCCAAAAATTTTTTCAAAAAATTCCAAATTTTCGCAAAAAAAACTCATAGGTGTGTTTCTGAGGCCGAAATATACTACCAGTTAAAATACTTGCACTTATTTCTGGGACACCCTGTATATTACTAAATAAAATATGTTTCTTCGTTATGGTCATTTTGTTTTTGTGGATTCGGGCCGGTTGCCTGTTATTCCCGGGCCGGTTTCCACTTCCCCATCCACCCCTGCTGCAGTGTGATTACTGTGTGAGACTCTAGAACAGCAATTGTTGTATAGGGTATTGCAACACAATAGAAGGGTTGTGAATCTATGAATGGCTTGATGAACCTTGTTTGGTCATATCACCTGTGTTTTTTTTTATTTCGTTAAAGCTTTTTGAAGAACTGTTACAGGCAATTAGATATCTATGAAATCATACAATCTACATCAATATATGAAAACCATACAAAATTGAATACAGTCAGTTGTAAAAGTAATTAAAACAAGAATATTAAGATTTTTCTTCAAAAATAATTTTTAAAATTCTTTTTAGCATGGAATTTAGCATTTAGCAAAAAATTATAATCGTTTATTCTTAACTAGCGTGTACTAGCGACTTCGTTCGCATCGAATTAATCATTTGTAATGGTGATGATAAAGCAAAGCAAGAATTTCCATTAACATACAAACTGGATAAAATTTTCTCATATTTATGTCAACATGAGAAAAAACAATATGGCGATATTATTATATAACTTGGTAATATTTAAGGGGTAGTTTCATCTCGTTGGAATTTGACTTTCGAAAAATCCGTTTGCTAAAAATAGACTTTTTACGCAGCCCCGGATCTAAGGGGGGGGGGGCAAACCGGGGTACCTGCCCCGGGCGCCAGTGTCAGGGGGCGTCAAAATCATAATATAATATGGTTGAAAATCAAAAAAATTGCTCCACAAAGCGCCTAGTATGCACCTTACGTTCTTCTATCAAGTATTCATACGTTAAAACGCCCAGTTAGTTTTTGAACAATAAATTAGCGGTTTCAATTAATTACACTTTTTACTTTTTAGTTTACGATCATTCACAATGTTTAAAAAACACAATTAAAATTAATAGAATATCCTAGCAACAGCTTGCGGTAGTCAATTGTATCACAGATTACTGATCAGGTATCCTATAAGTATACAGATAAAATTCGTCCTTAATTCGTGGTACGAAAATTGTTTTTTATGACGATGAGCAAACGAATAAATTTTCTTGTGCGCAAAAATAAACTAAATAGTATAAAGAGCGTAATAACTGGGCCGGTCAGGCGCTGTGCACATTTTTAGAGGCCATAAGTAGGCGTGCTTGTGCGCAAACTAGTAACCTAACTAGTGCGCGACTCCGAAAATTGGAACCACGAAAAACAATGCTTTTGACGATAAGTTTATAATCTGTATAATCTGTGGTTGTATCCATAAAGAAAGCCAAATATTTAGCTTATAAAACAATAAACTTTTGATTTCTAACCACGATTTCTCTTGACGGATACTAATCAATGGCCAAAATGACATTTCCCGCAAAATTTGAAGTATAATTAGTAGAAAAGTCAAAAGTTTGTTTACTTTTTCTACTAATGGAAAATGACTACCAATAATTTAGACGTCCTGAATGCTTACATTGAAATTAAAGGAACAAACTTCTACGCTAATTGAAACCCCTAATTTATTCCACTAATTCGGAGGTTCTGAATGAAGGTTAAGGGATGATTCACGGTACACCGGACCGTACCCGAGCCGGGCACGTTTCGTGAAGTAGACACCGAGCCACGTCCGGGCCTTCTGTTTATGCTACACCGAGTTGATAAAGGGGCTCGTATTAGTTCTGAGTATATTATAAAACACAGCCCCATAGACACACGAAGATTTAATACGAACAATGCCAAAGTTCTCGCAAGTGGAATTGGTACCAATTACAGCTGATAAATAAAGAACAACACCTGCTCAAAGGGCAAGATGGAGGGCCTATCTTCTTCATTACATCCTTTCATTGTCCAGTTTTATGCATTCCCTGTCATCAAATACTGCTGTAAGATTCACTACCTACTACAGACATGATAAAAAGTGTACTTTGTTTATATCATGACTGCAGATTGCAGTCGGGGCACCAGGAAAAGTACATTCATGCTTTCCGCAACGTGGCGGGAACTGAGCGGATCCGAGAAAAAAATGTACGCCGACATTTCTGGGACGGGGCACGGACGAGTTCCGGCGAAGGTCGGATCCTGCTCGGCCTGGCATGAATGTATATGTATAAAGAACACTAAAGAACACTTCCGGGCTGCAGTTTCCAGAGCCACAATTGTCATTTGGATCGCCAACCTTCGGCAGGAGAGGACGTGATAAGAAGAAGAAAGAACACTTGACAATGTTTGGCCGTGTCTTCAGCGACGCACGGCTCGGACCCGTTACGGTGTAGCGTGAAGCATCCTTATGGGCTCATTCTGTCCGGTTTACGAAAAATGCCTACCTATATCTAGATATTTGTAAAATTTTTTAAATTAATTTATTGCAAACGCTGGAGATAGGGGGCGCTACTATCGATTTTTTGCCCCGGTTCAAAAAAATTGTAGATCCGGGGCTGTTTTTACGTCAAGCAGTTTAAGCAAAACCGTGGTTAAGAAATTACCCAACTTTTTGGAACACCCTGTATGATTTTTTAAAAAATTTCAAAATATGTAAAAAAAACCAAATAAATTATGCTTGTCCAAGCGTTTTCCCGAAAGACTAACCGTTTTTAAAATAACAAATATTGTAATATTTGAGGGGCGTTTTCACCCTCTTAGAATTTGAGATTCGAGAAACCCCTCCTTATCGAGCCTCTACACCCCACAGTCAATCCGTTTGCCAAAAATCAGCTTTAAACGTCAAGCAGTTTAAGCAGAATCTTGATTACACAATGATCATATTTTATGAAACACCCTGTATAAATTTATAAAAATCTTAAAATATGTAAAACAACAAAATAAAATATACGTGTTTAAGAGATTTTCCGAAAAACTCACCGGTTTTTAAATAAAAAATATTTTAATATTTGAGGGATAGTTTCACCCCCTTAGAATTCGAGTTTCAAAAAATCCCTTCTTATCGAACCTCTACACTCTAAAGCCAATCTGTTTTCCAAAAATCAGCTTTTTACGTCAAGCGCTTTTAACAGGATCGTGATTAATCATTGGCCAGACTTTTCGAAACACCCTGTATACATTTTTAAAAAATCTTAAATTATGTAAAAAACAAAATAAAATATACGTGTTTAAGCGTTTTTTCGGAAACTTGACCGTTTTTTAAATAAAAAATATTGTAATATTTGAGGGGTGGTTTTACCCTCTTGGAACTGGGATTTCGAAAAATCCCTTCTTATCGAACCTCTACACCCTAGAATCAACCTGTATGCCAAAACTGAGCTTTATAGATTAAAAATTAGTTTTTTACTTACATCAACAATTTCATAGCTCTTTGTTTTTTACTAAAAGATTCTGCATATAGTCTGACAGAAGTTGTGGCCGTTCTAGTCCACCAATAGATCATTACATTATCCAACAATTCTATGTATGTGTACTTTTCCAAAAGTCCACCATCAACTCTTTTCTGCCAAGTTATATTTGTTCCAGTCGTGAACTTTTCTAATATGTAGGCTGCCAATCCAGCTGGAGAGTCAGTTAATCCAACTCCTTCAATAAGAAAATGTTGCTTATAAAAACTCCTTAATAATCTTTTTTATTTATTATTTACCTAGAGTATCAGGCTTGGTAGCTTGGAGATGAAGATATCCAGTTTCCAGAATTCTATGTTCGAATTTTTGCCACAAAGGATACACTCTATTCGTGTGCTCTGGTTTGACAACCCAAGATTTATTAAAAGTGCCCAGAGCGTACTTTATGTAAGACCAAGGGGTTGCTACATAGGCCATGTTGGTGTGATATCCCAGAACATTTTCTGGATATAAGACACAAAGTTGTTGTAGGATTATAGCACCAAAATCGCCACCTGGAAATACAAGATTATTAGTATAATCTTGCTACGAAGTTGAAAGTAAATTGCATTTTTTAATTCTTAAAGGTAACGCATAGAGGGGTAAACCGCGACCCAAAATTGTGTACACTACACTGGACATTGGCTCTTAATTAGCACATTGGTCTTTCAGAATTTTCACCATTTCCCCATTTGCCCAAAAAAATTGTCATAATTGGTCTTAAATGGTCTTTTGAATTGGTACTATTTTCCCATTTCCCCAAGAATTGTCATAATTGGCCCTCCATTGGTCATTTGAATTAGCACCATTTCCCCATTTCCCCCAACTAATTGTCATAATTGGTCCTTCGGATACTCTGTAGTATGTAGGTACACCGGAACGTTACTTCTGATAAGTATTTGAAATTTAAAAGATATCAAAGGTATGCGGCCGAATTGCGACCAAGTGCTACATTACTGTAACAACTATAGTTGTGTGTAGTGCTAACAACTATATGTTGGGACAAGGTCTCTTCTTTGCAATAAAAATAGTAATTTGTTAAAACGACTCAATTTATTTTGTTTATTATTCTAAATTCAAACATTACAATATGATCTAGATAATTTTACTATATTTTTATGACTTTGCAAACAAATCACTTTTGATAATAAGTTATTTTGACAAAATCAAGTCAAATTTGCTGACAACTATATATTGGGACAGCACAACAAGAAATTTGTTTAATACGCCTTAACAACTGCCTGAACTCTTAATGGCATTGTATTTACTAAAGATTGGCACATTTGAGGAGAAAAATTATCCCAAATTTCCTGGAGTTTTGTCCGCAAATCAAAAATTGTTCGTTGAGGGTGGTTTCTTAAATATTGCTTCATTTTATGCCACACAGTTTCTATAACATTGAGGTCCGGACTACTTAAAGGATGGGATAGAATCTTTATATTATTATTACCGAACCAATTTTTAGTTAATCTTGCTGAATGGCACGATGCTCCATCTTGTTGGAAAATATAGTCTTCGTTTGGAAACAATTCTTGAGCACTAGGCAAAAGTGAGGTCTCAAGAATATGTTGATATTTTTGGGCGTTAACAGTGCCATCTATAAAATTTAATTTGCCCAAACCTCTTGCTGACATGCAACCCCAAACCATAATCCCCTTAGGAAATTTAACAACCCTCTTTAAGCAATCTTTATGAAATGCTTCTGCTTTATTTCGTATTATTCGTTTTCGATGATCTCCAACGCAAACATCAAATTTAGACTCATCGCTAAATATGACCTTATTCCAATCATTTTGTGTCCAGGATAATTTAAATTTTGCCCAATTGTAGCGTGTATTTTGAATTTCTGTCAGTAGCGGTTTTTGTTTGGCCTAAATAAGAATTTGTATCAATAATCTTCAGGTAATTGATTATCCACACAAAATAAAGTTTACCTTGTAAAACCCTAGACTGCATTTGTGGATATATTTTCGGCAACATTCTCTTGATATATTTAAACCAGTTACAGTATTCCATTTAACTGTTACTTCGCGAAGAGTACTTCTTCTCGCAGACTTGTAAATTTTTAGTAAATTTCGTAAATCTCTCTGAGATACAACTGTTGGCCTTCCCGAACTTTTACCTCTAACGTCTACATTGGCAGATTCGCAGTATTTTTTTATTATATTAAAGACCGTGGTTTTTGGAATACTTAAATCATCAGAAATTTTTCGAATTGTTTTTCCCGTACTGTGTTGACGAATGATAATTTCGCGTAGTTTTTGATTTGTAGCTTTTCCACGGACCATTACTTTGGATTAAATTAACAAAATTGAAAATTAAAAAAATTCAAATTTCTTACAGTAAATCTCACTACTCAAAGTATCGAGTCACTTACAAGCTGTCAATGCTGAAGTAAACAGTTTGCGACATTTGTGACGTTTATAGCAAAGCCGCCTATGATGATATTAATTATTTAAAAATACTTGTCCCAACATTTAGTTGTCAGCAAAGTTGTCCTTTTATGAACAAAATCCGCTACTGTAAATATGGATTGATTTACAAATTCATAAAAATATTGTCAACTTGTTTAGGATATATGGCTATGTTTATATTTAACAAATTAAACATATATTTTTCAGTCATTTTGAAAAACCAGGGCAATAAAATTGAATAATATGACCTTGTCCCAACATATAGTTGTTAGGGCTCGTATTATTGTATATTACAGAGTAACTATGCAATTAAATGAAATTTATAATTAGAAGAAAAATATTTAAAAAATTAGACTACGAATTTGAAACCAAAACAGAAATATATATAACTAAATTATGTCATACTTAAACTAAGTAATAATATCGGTACTAATACAGTGATATCAACAGCTATATATTTATGTCAATATAATTTTTGATGTTTCGTAAAAATTATTATTATATAATTTTACTTTTGATCGATTGATTTCCCCTATTTGTTAGCATTGTTACTTAATTGGCACCATTAGTCCAGACAATTGGTCCGCATTGGTTTGGTTGTACACCGCATTGGTCTCGCGGTTTACCCCTCGTAACGCATTTTATTTTACTTAACACCAATTTCATAAAATATTAACTGAATCATTTTAGAACAATCTTCTTATGCACTGAATATTCTTCGGGATAACTGTCTGTGTATACAGGGCGTTTCAAAAAACATCATGGGGAGATTCCTGACGTAAAAATAAGATTTGTTTTTCATATCAACATAGGTCCTATTGTACTTTGTTTCGTAACTACAGGGTGTTAAAGTCTTAATAATCTTTCAATTTATTACAATTTTCTTTTATAAGTACTTTTATTGATGCGAATGAAATTTTGAGCGTAAAAGTTACTATAAATGTGATATATTTTAAAGCTAAAAAAGTGTCGACATATTCACCAGGGATGTACATATGGGTTATCACTGAATTTTTTTCTAAAAAAAGCATGTATGCCACTGACTTTTTTTCTTTTGATATCAAAATCGTGTAGGCCGTTTAATGGCAATTAAAGGTTGTCTCTTGATATTTTGTCGAATTCGGCCTCCTTGATGAAATAAACGCAATTTTATTAATCACAATTAATAAAATTAAAATAAAAATAAAATTAATAAGTTATTATATACTAGCGTGTACCAGCGACTTCGTTCGTAATGGTGATGATAAAGCAAAGCAGGAATTTTCATTATCATCCAAACTGGATAAAATGTTCTCACATTTATGTCAGCATGAGAAAAACAATATGGCGATATTATTATATAACTTGGTAATATTTGAGGGGTAGTTTCTCGTTGGAATTTGACTTTTGAAAAATCCGTTTGCCAAAAATAAGCTGTTTACGTCAAGCAGTTTAAGCAGAATCGTGGTTAATCAATTACTCAACTTTTTGGAACAACCCAACTTCTGATAGTTTCGCCCCCTTAGAATTCGAGTTTCGAAAAATCCATTCTTATCGAACCTCTACACCCTAAAGTCAATCTGTTTTCCAAAAATCAGCTTTGTACGTCAAGCGCTTTAAGCAGGATCGTGATTAATCAATGACCAGATTTTTCGAAACGCCCTGTATACATTTTTAAAAAATCTTAAAATATGTAAAAAAACAAAATAAAATATAAGGGTTTAAGCGTTTTTTCGGAAACTTGACCGTTTTTTAAATAAAAAATATTGTAATATTTGAGGGGTGGTTTCACCCTCTTGGAACTGGAATTTCGAAAAATCCCTTCTTATCGAACCTCTACACCCTAGAATCAGCCTGTATGCCAAAATTGAGCTTCTTACGTTGAGTGGTTTGAGCAGGATCGTGATTAATCAGTATGTCAGTCACTTAAGGATTTTATATATCAGTATAGATTTTACCTAATTTATTATAAAATACTATTAGTTATTATTAAGTTTTAACATCCTGTAACTCTAAAACTATGCATTTCCATACCCATAAAGGTTTTTTAAAATTTTTTGATGAGGAATCAATGAGTACTTATTTAAAACTTTCGCAAGTTGATGATATTAATTTTTTTTAAATGTTGCTATTAGACTTGGATCAAGGCAAATTAATAAAATTGCGTTTATCTCACCAATGAGGCCGAAATCGACAAAATATCAAGAGACAACTTTTAATTAGCATTAAACGGCCTACACGATTTTGATATCAAAAGAAAAAAAATATGTGGCGTAAATGTTTTTTTTTAGAAAAATATTCCAGTGAAAACCCATATGCACGTCCCTGGTGACTGTGTCGACACTTATTTAGCTTTAAAATATGTCACATTTATAGTAACTTTTACGCTCAAAATTTCATTCGAATCAATAAAAGTACTTAAAAGAATATTATAATAAATGGAAAGATTATTAAGATTTTAACACCCTGTAGTTACGAAACAAGGCAGAATAGGACCTATGTTGATATGAAAAATAAATCTTGTTTTTATTCCCCACGAGAGAGGCACATGTTTTTTGAAACACCCTGTATACCGGATGCGTCTCTAAAGTGGCTCACCCCTGTAACTTTTAAAACCTTCATTTTTCAGATAAAAAAAAAACAGATTTGGTATGCTAGTATATGACATAAATTAGGATTACGTATTGACGTATTCAATTGTTTTCGGTCGCTTTCTGTTTCACTGGAAATGACTACAACTTTTGATTTATAAATGGCACACCCTCGATATTTTTTTACATGATTCGATAGAAAATGACACTCTGAATAAAATGACATATCATATATGTCAACTTTTGACATTTTCGCATATGGTTTATCTTAAATTGTAACCTGCGGTGCATAATGACAATTTGACTCGAAATACCAAATGTATGGTATAAAATTATTAGTAAAAAAATGCTTTTTCCAAAAATGCTATTAAACCACCCTCGTTCCATTCAAAAAATTAAGATACGATTAAAAATACGATTTGGGCATCTTTCAACCGGTCAGGACAAGACACTAAAAACATTAGACGATCAAATCTATATTTCCAAGACTCCTTGATTAAATATTTGTTTTTTAACACAGCCAAAGCACTC